TGACACGTGGAGGGTATGTGTTGTGTCAGGAACCGTGTTGAGGTTAAGAGTGAGGAGGAAGTGATCCGAGATGTGCAGTGGAGTAACCAGTATATGATCAGTGGAGCAGTGTCGTGTGTAAATAAGGTCCAGTTGGTTGCCTGATTTGTGAGTAGCCTTAGTTAACACTCGCTTGAGATCAAAAGAGGCAAGCAGAGTGTGGACGTCTGCAGCCTGAGGTTTATCTAGGTGGATGTTGAAGTCTCCAAGCATAACTAGAGGAGTACCACCCTCAGGAAAGTTTTAGAGCAGCACGTTTAATTCTTCCTGGGGGTCGATAAACAACTATAAAATGGATTTTAAGAGGGTGGGTAATAGTGCAGGGATATGAAAACACATAGTAAGAATTGGTTATAAAAACTGAAAACAAAAGGGAAACATGTAGTAGGAAAGAGAATGATTCAAAAGCGATACTTATGTCCCTTGCGGTGTCCCTGCTCGGTGGAGTCGAACGGTAGAGTCGATGGTCTTTACACTTTTCGGTCTTCACACGAGGGATGCCGCGACCGCTGCCGCGGTATACTAAGCTTTTTATATTCGTCTAACAAAACTCAAATTGAATTCAGCTGGACACACTTTCCTGTTTATCACAACAAATGGCCAAGCAAGCGCACGACACTGACAAGGTACGCGATACAGTACAAGACCAAACGTGATTTCCATTTAAAGTTAATATATTTTAAATTTACTAAATTGCATCTTAATCTTTATAAATGTGTAATTACAAATATATTTAAATACATGAGTTTCAATAGAAATATAAATTTTATTTGTATTTATTTTATTTGTCCTTTATTTAACCAGGTAAAACTTTCTGAGATTAAAAATCTCTTTTACAGAAGTCACCTGGCCAAGATGCAGCACTACATTTCATAAGAAGAACACAAAACAATGTGTTGACAACCATTAAAAACATTTACAAATTAATTCTTCCTTTAACAGCTCATTAATCAAGAATTCAAAAGTGTTCATTGACACTAAGGTCTGCAACTTCAAGTTGTGTTGTAAAAAGTTCCAATCATTGGGCACTGCAAACTGAAAAGCTTGTTTTCCAAGTTCAGTTCGTGCAAATGGAACCGAAAGAATGTACTTGAAAATCCTGTGAGCGCAGAGAATAAGCTCTAGGAGCTTTAGGCTGGGTGAGGGAACAAAGATATGGAGGCAGTAAACCCAAGATGGATTTATAAATAAACAGGTACCAGTGATTACGTCTGCGTGTTGATAATGACGTCCAACCAACTCTATTATACAAATCACAATGATGGGTACTAACATTACAATTTAATATAAACCTGAGCGCACCGTGATACAGTGTCCAGAGAACCTAAAAGATAAGGAGTCATAAAGCATAAAACCGAGATATTTATATTCTGTCACTACATCAAACATAGTACCCTGTGAGGTTTTGAGAAACCAAACCAAATGACATTGAAGTAATTTTATTTTATTTTACTATAAATGCATGTCAGTACATTCAGCAATACTTTATCCATACTTCAAAGACAATAGAAATAATAATGAAATTGCATGTAAAGATGTACTTGGCTCTAAAGTTCAACTAATGGCATTTCATATCAATTTAAACAATAATACATCTTCATTTAATTGCAAGTAACATGCAATTAAGTTTCTAAAAACATTACATTCAGTTCACAATTAAGTAGAGTATATTGTATTAAAGTATATTATTTCCATAATGAGTCCTCTTGACTGGAATAAACGGTTAATGATAGTGTTGTCTGCGTGTGTGTGTGTGTGTGTGTGTGAGAGACAGTGTGTGAGTGTGTGTGTGTGTGATCTGCTGTTCTCTGTGTGCACATCTTCAACTCATCTTCTTGTGTTTCTGTCTCAGGCCCAGAAAAATGAGCGGGAGTCCATCCGGCAGAAGCTGGCGCTGGGCAGTTTCTTTGATGATGGGCCGGGAATCTACAGCAGCTGCAGCAAGAGCGGCAAACCCAGCCTGTCCTCACGGTCAGTAACAGCCCTCAAACCTGCTGTCCTGACTAGAGAAATCATATGCTGCACTTCATATGTGCATAATATACACTAGATTTCACACATTTCAGGTCATTAAGATTGTTTAATGATTATGAATGAAGTCTCTTCTGCTCACCAAGGCTGTATTTATTGAATCAAATATACATTTAAAACAGTGAAATATTGTTACAATGTAAAATCACAATTTTCTATGTGAATATCTGTTAAACTGTAATTTATTTCTGTGATGCGCAGCTGTATTTTCAGCATCATTACTCCAGTCTTCAGTGTCACATGATCTTCAGAAATCATTCTAATATGCTGATTTGCTGCTCAAGAAACATTTATTATTATTATCAAGGTTGAAAACAGTTGTGCTGCACAATATTTTTTGTGGAAACTGTGATATATTATATTTTTCAGGATTCACAGCAATACAGCATTTATCTGAAAGGAAAAAAATAAAGAAAAAAGCACTTTTGATCAGTTTAATGCATCCTTGTTGAATAAAGCTATTATTATTAAATATTAATTTAATTAATATATATATATATATATATATAGTGTATATACAGTGTATATATATATATATATATATATATATATATATATGGTAAACATTTTAACTAATAGATATCACTGTACTTCCCCAGTTTATTATTAAAATCACAGTTGATTAAAATAATTGTTTTGAATTACAAGTGTTCTGAAGTGTTTAAATATGCGTAATGGAAAAAACAAGGGTTAAAAATTCTTAAGTGATTTTGGTGACACATTGGAGTTAAAGGTTTTTACCGAGGGAACTTTGGATTTCTCTTTTTATCACCTCAAAACTCAGAAAATACAGAAAAAAAGAAAAGAAAAAAACTTGAATATGTTGTATAAATAATATACAACATATTAATAATATATGAGTGTGAATAATATATGAACAAACCTCAGTAAAAGCCTTCAGAATATAGAGAGGAATACAACTGTAAAGTGTGCAGCATGTCAGTGCTGCTGAAGTGGAGAAAAAATGTATTTTGAGAAAATAAAAAAAATAACATATTATACCCAAAAATTCTTCATGAAGTGGATTACCAGTAAAACTGATACAAATTTAGGATCAAAAACTTTTCAGACACTTTGACCTGAGCAAGTTTTGCTTAAGGGTTTTTTTTTTTTTTTTTGCTAATGTGACCTTTTTACACCACAGACTGAACAAAATGAAGCATTGCTTGGTAATTGGTTGAGCTAAACTGAGTTCTGTTCATATATTATTACCATTTTCTAAACTATAGCGAATAAACTGTGATAATGTGAGAAATGTTGAAGGTGTCAGAATTAATGTTGGTTTGGCTGTATATATACACACAGACGGATCACAGGAGCGTGCACAGGGACACGGGCCTTTTTACTTCAACTTTCCATGACCACAGCATGAGAGCGGAGCTGTGGCTCAGATAGTGAAACAGCGTCACGTTCCTGTGTTTGTGTGGCGAAGCCGAGCTTTCAAACACTCTCTCTATGAACACGAAGGGCTTCCCCCTCCAGCTCCGCATCACACACACACACACACACACACACACACACACACACTCTTCCCAAAAGGGAAGCAGCTCCTTCTCTCACACACACACACACACACAACTTTAACCTGAATCCCTGCTGCTCACTTTCTGTTTCACATGACCGTGATGAGCACTTCTTGTCATTTCTCTGTCATGTTGACACAGTGTCGTAATGCTGCTGTCATTACAGTAAAACACTAACACTGTGACCCCATCATTCTGCTCTAGATTTACCTTACTTCTGCTAGAGCCATAAGGAAATCCCATGATCTTTAAGACGGGACACTACAGGCAAAATTGTTTTTTCATGCACTGGTCACTTTTGAGATGTTGGGCTGTTCTGCTTCCCATAACATGCTTTTTTTTAACATCTTCAGCATCCATATTGCTCTATATGCACCTGACTGTAATCATAATACATATCTTCGAAGGCTGTTTTAGCAAGATGAGTTTGTTTCTTCACTTCAGCAGCACTTACATACAGCAAACTTTACAGTTTTATTTCTATCTATATTCTGAAGGGTTTTATGGAGGGGGTTGTTCATATATCATTCACATTGATTTATACAACATTTTAAATCAATGTTGTTGTTGTTGTTGTTGTTGCTTTGCCAGTTTTTCTGGCTGTTTGTGATTTATGGAGTGATAAAAAGAGAAATGCAAAATCCCCTCTGTAAAAACCTTTAATATGTCAGCAGAATCAAGTGAGAATTTGACCTGGCTTCATCCATTATGCATATTAAAACAACACTTCAGAACACCTGTCATTCAAAACACTGCTCTCAGTTAACTATGATGAATAAACTGGTGAATTATGGTGATATCTGTTAGTTAGTTAAATGTTTATCTGTCAGTTAAAATGTTCATCTGAAGTGTCTTGCTTTAAGGATAGAGTGATTTTCATGTGACAGATGAACTATAATCTAACTTCAGTCAATATTCTGACTTTAACTGTGGAATTGTATTCAATTCTTTGTAGAAAAAAAGGTTTTAATTTCAGCCATTTCGACTAAATCTGCAATCAGACATTTTTAATTCATTACATTTTTATATTGTTCATCGTGCCATTTTATTGCTAAAACACAATAACAAAAATCCAATTTTAAATGTCCTAAATTGCAAGCAGTTGCAAACCACACAGAGCTGTAAAGTGAAGCGCTCTAGCAACGTTCAGCTGGATCCTCGAGTCGAGCTTTCTGATGCTTCAGCAGTTCCTTTTCCTGCGCGTTTCACTGCTTTGTGTGACTTTCAGGCGATATTGCTGCTGATGTCACCGCGGGTATTCCAGTGCTCTCACTGTGTGCTTTTCTCAAATCAACGCACCTCCAAAACCTTAAAAATCAACCAAAGGACTGTACACAAGAGCATAAACATAAAACAGACATTCCCAGAGTGATTTAAAATACAGACATATCATCATTCTGCATTAGTAATGATTAAACTGACTGAAGCCTGACTGAGTTTTTGGACTGAGGTGTTTAACAGCACTGCATATCCTCACAGGCTTCAGAGCGGAATGAACCTGCAGATCTGCTTCGTCAATGACAGCGGCAGCGACAAAGACAGTGACGCAGAAGACAGCAAGACAGAGACCAGCCTGGACACACCGCTGTCTCCCATGGTACACACACACACACACACACACACATGGATGATGTTTCCTCTAACAGAGGTCACACAAGCAGCGTTTTGAGACAACCCCATCCAGAATGCCCCTGAATCAGGGATGTGGTTTGCGAGCCTTGGCTTCCCAGCAGACATTGCAGTGGGTGTTACTGTAAGGTTATGGCTGAGTCAGAGAGGGTCACAGGCCAGAGAAATGACCCCACCTACACTGACCCTGTGCAATCATCATTCATCAGCCTGATCATTACAACACACCGGCGTGTGTAGATTCCCCCTGGACACGCGCCGCATCAGTCACACTCACACACACACACACACACACACTTTAAGTCACTTAAGTGACCTTTTATTTCATAAATTTTATATTAATGTTACGTGGTAATCAGGGAGAAACAGAACAGGTGTGGGAACTAATTCATCAAAAACCATGGAAACTAGTTAGGGAACTCAGGCAGACAAATGGGAACAGGGAGAAAACGTCTCAGGTTACGTATGTAACCATGGTTCCCTGAGAAGGGAACGAGACACTGCGTCCT